GATTTCATCATGGTGTACTAAACCGCCCCTTTGCCCCTACGCAAAGGTAAACCTCTTGCATGCATCTGGCATCGCAGGTGATCAAATACCAAGGAGCCATGACCTACTTAACGGGCGCCTACCTTGGTAACTACCTTTACCTCAGCTCCTGAGCCAAATCGTGTTGAAGCCGAAGCACGACAAACTTCGACAAGCACGTTAGCAAGAAACATGGAAAACAAGTCAGAGGGGGTGTGCTAAGAGCAGTGAAAGCATGATGACATAGGGGACATCAAAATCCAGAGGCATTCTGCTTATGCAAACGCCATAACATAACAATCTCAACAAACAACAAACAGCCTATGCAACTAGGAGCAACGGGAGGCGCACTACGCCGTGAAATCAGTTTTTGGAGGAGTTTCGCGTTACCTGTTTTACTCCGGGCTACGAACATACTTTGATACTTTATTGATGGAATACACTAAAGAGTACATATGATCTCCAGAATGACTTTCGCTGCACACGCTCACTAATCGCTATACAAATCTCATTCATCAATTCAACCAATTCTGAGCATCTCCCACAAACGTGGGCAACTCTGCTCTTTGAGCCTCATCTAGTTTTACTGTTATAACAGCAACATCCGTAATATATAATATCCAATGTCCTACATACATAAGCTACATATCTGTCTTATTTTCGTCCGTTTTTTTCCTTTCTTCACTTTTATTTGTTCTTCCCGCTCATCTTTTTCAACTGCTTTTCCATCTGTTTTTTATTCATTATCCTTTTTCTTTTTATCCTAATTCCATTTCCTGCCGATTTTGAAAATACCTAGGTATGCTAATACTACAAATTCGAAATCCACTATCCACGTAGATTACCGGCAAAAATGAACAGGTTAGAAATGGGATTCAGCCTAGGTTGTTGAATTATGAAAAATCAGGTCTCCATCTATATGACCGCTGACCGCTTTATTGGACATGCCTCTGCTAGAAGGAAGGTCGCATACCTGTTTAATCAACTCATACATATGTTCTCAGACCGCTGTCTGCTATGGGATTCCGCAACATCAGCTGTGGCGCATTCTTTTCAACAGTCCAGGTCTTCCACCAATCAGGTAAGCTGGTAGTCTGTCAATCGTCCACTACACTATTTTCCAGTGGACTGAACCACTGCCACATTTCTAAGGCGTAGAAACATAACGAGCCAAAAGGCAACAGTGCTCAGTTACAAAAACCTTCACTACCTTAACCGTGTAGAAAGACCGTCTGTGATGCACTGACCCGAATCATGAAGATTACGCACAGCGCACAGAGGAATCATGCTGTGCTTATCAATACATTACGTGAGAGGCAGGAGGAGGAGAACAGGCAATCCTTTACTGTGAAAAATGTATTCATACACTAATAAAGCATGTGGGGGAGGGGCGGGGGCAGGAACGCTCAACATGACACTGACGGCCACTCAAAAAGTTGTAAGAGCGTTAGATTGCAAACGGTTTCAAAGACGATTTCAAAAATTTATCTGATGCAATAATTTCATGATCACTGTTTCATGATCTGGTAAGTCTGATTTTTTCTTCCATCTCAAGAAAGTCACTGTCGTGCAGCTGAACGGTTGATGATATAAATATATGGTAGTTTAACATCGACTTTAACCTTGTGGCCAAAACCACTGGTTCTGAAAATTCCACATATTTAAATATAATCGTATAAAAAATTCTTCCGTCATATAAAGTACAGTACGCAATAATTTGCAACTTTGCAGCATGACTGTTCATGACGCTGACGTTTATTTCTAATTATAAAACAGCAACGTTTCAACGACCGAATGACAGTCTTTCAAAAGGTCTAACGAACTACATTCAAACTATGAGAAATGTCGACATGATTAGACAAGGAGAAATTTTAAATGTGATACACAGATTAGAAAAACATTTAAAGACTGACGATGCTATGCATATTATCCTATTTGTTAATCATTTTGCCGTGTTCAGCATGACTATTGCTTTTTATGTGAAATACGCCTAGAACAGTCAACTCTAACACCAAAACTAGTTAATTAGTTATTTGTACCATTTTATTCACGTACCTTGATGGACATGAGGCTGGAATTCTTTCCCGGTAGTCGGCAAGTGATAAAGTGTTTCGTAAATCACGAATGAAAAAACAACGTAGGAACCTTTCTTTACATTCATATTATACGCGAGACTGAAGTATGGTATCAAAGTCGGTTTGTTTACAAGGTTCTCTAACAATGCATTTCAAATAACTAAATAACAAATAAAGTGCATAAGCAAATAAGTGAGAAAGAAAGTACGTAAACAGGTATTGCCTGAGATTGTCCACATTTACGCAACCTATTTGTTTGCACCGCTCGCTAGATCCTATGGAACAGAAGGGGGCCATTTAAGTTCGTCACAGCTCCATGAAAAACGGATATACAGATATACATATATAACTCTGTCAATCAGTTACTTATTTACCGTATTATTAGTTTATTCATTTACTTAGTTACTACTTGAAAGATGCTACAGAGAACAATGTTTCGACTAAATAGTTTCGGCCTTCTTCAATTATCATAAATAATCAAACAGTCATCATCATCACCAGTCTATGTCAATCCATTCCTGGATGAAAGCCTCTTCGGCAGTTTTCGATCCTGATCCAATGAACCTCTTCAACTCATTCATGGAAAGGAGAGGGACGTTTCTTCTCTCTAGGAAAAACGAGTCTTGTGTCTCCTTGATCCAGTGATGGTCGGTTGTTCCTGCTACTTCAATTTCTTTACTCACACTCGTTGTGCTCTTACACATTCGTTCGTGTTGGAATTTATTTCTATTGTTCCTATTATTGGCAGCATACACCTACTTTACATTTCTGTGCTGCGCTGACCAATCTGCAATATATGAATAGTTTCGCATACTTATGGATTAGAACTGGGAGCACATATGGAAAGTGAAAACCTTCCGTCCGTTTAACCTACAAAGACGTTTCCCTGGAAAGAACATTTTAAAAAGTTATCAATCATCCAAAAGTGTTCAATGCCATTTCTATTCTTCTTATTCCGCAGAGTCGGCTCTCCATGACGGAGATGAGCTATCCAATAGAGTAATATTCATGTATCTCAATTCTACTGTACAAATTCGAAGCATCATCCCTCTTAAAGCGCCATGAAAATATTATGCAACTTTAAGCAGAAATATTTGCGGAATATTCTGAAAGTGCTATATGGTTCTATCGAATAACATATGAAAGGATCTTGAAGAAGACCGATCCTGAGTATACTGTCTGAAGAAACGCGAGAGACCGGTGTCTGTTGTGGTTCGAGAGAAACGGAAACTTATCCAAAACCATTTTTCTCTGGAAAGCAAACGAATAATAGCAGGTGTTTCGCAGGCCAATATCGCGCCATAACACCGTTGCTAGATGCGTGCTTGCTTGCGAGGAAGAATATTACCTTTGCGGCATCAACCAACGTCATTTAAATCATTGTGACGATAAGCCAAAGCACCAGGTATCATTAATGTGAATACTTCGTTCCTGACTCTGATATCTCAGATGACAACAGCAACATCTAAACGCTAAACGGTAGTATCAAAAGTCTGACGTTCACAAGGCCTAAAAAAGCTGTGCTATAGTGATTTCTTGATCCAGACTGAAAGTGCTAAATTAAATCAGAAAACAAGGTACAAATGAACGTCGAGAACATCCATTGAAAGTTGTAATGCAAAGATGCTGCACTGTTGCATTTCGGGAACAAATCAGTAATGATTATAAGAAACGCAGCTTACCTCTCAAGGAGGTGAGCAACTTTGAGTGATTGATGCAGCGTTCGTCGCCGTCGTAGTGCAGGACGAGTAGCGACAGTCGTGTGAGCGAGTGAAACTTCTCGATCCACTTGTCCACCGAAAAGCAGCCGAAATCGCTGGACAACGATGAGCACTTCTTGTCCAGCTTCAGAATGGTCAGCCAACGACGATCAACGGCGAAAACGGCTGAACGAGGAACGTCTCGCTGCGAAGGCGGTGAGGACGAGGATGACGCCGTCGACGACGACGATGGAGGCAATTCGAGGATCTTGCAGAATGACTGAGCCTCAGTATTCCACAACGACCTTGCCGAGCGGTAGAACAACGGATGGCGGACGACGTCGCCTCTGACCGCTTCGCTGCCGTACAGCTGGCCCTCGATAGCCAGCCGTCGACTGGTCAGATTCTGTACATTAGTGACGTTGCAGAAAAGTATGTCGTTGGCCAGCAAAGCGCGGATCATGCACAACGCGCAGATGACCAACTGATCTGACGACAGACAACGACGGCAAATCCGGGGACAGCTCACTGCCATGGTCGCGTCCGGTTCTTTTCCTTATGCCATTCGATTCAACACCACTGATGAAGGCGATCAGGCTGGCCCAGCTGGAAATCAGCTGTCGTCAGCCGAACGCCGTCCGCAACACGAACGTTACTCAAACCCAACCATCGAAAATCACCAACATACAAACCGACAGAATGCTTGACGAAGCGTCTCGTGGCGTGACACGATACGCAAAGCCGGTCCGAATATCGTTCCGCTACGCACAC